AGGACTCCCAAGACGAACCGCTGTCATCGCTGCCTCAGCTGCTGCAAAATCGGGCACGTGTCATGCCCAAAATGCGCGCGCAACATCCAGCAAGACCCACGATAAACTTGCCAGCGCTGGCTTAGGCCGGCGATAAGAACAAAAAAATAGTCCGAATTTCCAATGTCATCAGAGAAAGGCAGGGGGTCGCACCGAATTTCACTGGTCATCAAGAAAAGCAAGGGATTCCAAAGTGTTTGCGCCAACGTGCTGCTGGCCCAGTACCTAAAGCAACTCTCAGCTATCCTCATGAGTGGTGAAGCTGACCCACGGTTCGTTCGGTTCAGACAAGTCTCGGACACGCTTTGTGGGTCTGGACTGCTGGTCAAGCGGAGCACCTCCGCAGCGCGATTCTCATGGTAGCAACAAAACTAATGCGCCAGCAAGTCGGCTGCTTGCGCTACCTAATGGACATCTTCGGGGTTGTCCCTTATCAACCAGATCTGAAAAGGGGCTTGGAAAGCGTCGCCGCCTTCATCCTTGCTGGACAGCTCGTACCGCGTCTTTGGGATCCACGCCAGGTTCTCTGCGTATTGAAGCTCGCCTGGTGAAGCAAACCGCTCGGTCCAAAATGATTTGGGTATGAGTTACCTCTGGCCTAGAGACCCAAAGGAATCCACGAAACCGACTTACCAGTAGAGCCAGCGAAGCCGGCGGTCGCAAGTTTTAGAAATATAAGAACTATAGTTGTTTCTTCTTTATCTTGCCTCTCGTCTCACTTGTCCTTATCTCTTTCTATTCTTTCTCCTTCTCTTCATCATTATCTTTCTCTGTCTGTCGCTTCTATTTATCCTTCTCCTCTCTGTCGGTTTCTCTTTCTCTCTTTATCTGTTTTGCCTGTTCTCTTTCTTGCCCTTTTCGTTTGTCTCGTTATATTCTGTGTCTACTTGCTTATTTACCGACCAGCCTGTCTATCTGTCCAGCCATCTGTCTATCTTGTTTGGTCTTATCGCGTCTCATCTTCTTATCTATCCTGTCCATCTTAGATACCAATCCCATCTACCCTTTTTACCTGATCCAACCAGCTGCCTATCTACCTGTCACCCATCTATCTACCTGTCCATCCGTCAATTTACCTATCTACCAACCTATCTGTGTCTATCTGTCCACCTTCCTTCCAATCTATCTATCTACCTTTCTGTCCGCCGAACAATCCACTTATCCATCTTATCCATCCATCTACCTGTCTATGTATGTATGTATCTTTTCTTTTAGCTTGTCTACCTCGGATTCTTCTCTTGTCATCTATCTCGGAGAGCTAGCTTTCATTTTGTTGCCGTGCTTTGACAAATCACGCACTGAGTCGAGCATCCTGACCCTGCAATGTGCAGCGAACAGCCAAAGTGATGCGCCACCATGATCCCGCAGAATCTCCCAAGCGCTAATGAAACCCAATTGGGGCTATGAGGGTGGTCATTGCTTGCGGGGCACATTTTGAAAAAGACCGTGGACACATTTCCAAGGAGTCTAGTATCCAAGCAAAATGCAAACACGCAAATATGATGCTGCTTGGCTGCTCACTGCAGCCTGCACCGCGCCATCACAGCGCTGCGAGATCACCTTCAGCGTCACCTTGCCACCGGTGCTGCTGGTGTAGGTCACCTCCCGCCCCAAAATGCTTTCAGCCATTGCAGGTCAGGGCCTACAGCTGCGAGGCCGCGATGGCTGCGGATGTTTTTCGCCCACCTCCCATTCTCATCTCGCACTAAGGGCAGTGGTGAGCCTTCGGGAGAGAAACCACAACTTGGCACTCACTGGCCCCGACAAAACCAACCGCCGTACCCCACACCTTCAGCGGCGCCTTGTTTCCTCTAGGTGGGCTCTTCCCCTTTGAATCGACACCTCTCGTGCCAGTGAAGAAGGCGAGTTCCATTGGAAAACGCAAACGCTTAGAAGGAAACCCTTTGGGTTGACATACTAAATGACAGGCAAGAAATCCAAAGCGCTATCCTAGAAACCCGCCTCAGGCGGAGTTTAGACACGCAATGCTGTTGCAGGAGGGAAGGGGCTGTTCAGGTGGCATTTCGCTATAGCTACCTACATACGCATGTGTCTGTTTATCTATGCCCTTTACACTCAACTATGCTTCCCTTGACACTAAACTAGGCTACGCCCTTTACACTAGGCTATGCCCCTGCTGGCCTATGTCCGCCAACATTGCTTGGACACCTAAGAGAGGATAGAGGATAACCCCCGACGTGTGGTGGGGTACAGGGGGAGGGGGCGGGGAGTCCCCCACGTGCCGCGCGGTAATTTGATGACGTTCCACTAAACGTAGTCAACATGGGTCCCAGGCTTGAATGCCCCTGCCGGCTCTTTCTCCTTTTGCAAAAAATCTGGACGGGAAATGAAAGGGAAAGGAAGGGGAACTGAGAGGGACATGAAAGGAACAGAAATGAAAACAAGGGGAGTGCAGGGACAAGGCAACCAATCGGCACGACGGGAGATGTAGGGTACTGACTCGCATCGAAAGGGACATGAAGGAGGAAAGGACATGCAGGGGAAATCAAAGGGAAAGCCAGTAGTGAGATGACAGTTCAGGGTCATGAAGGGGCAATGCCTGGACATCGAGGAGAGAGAGCTAGAGAAAGAGAAAGAGAAAGAGAAAGAGAAAGAGAAAGAGAAAGAGAAAGAGAAAGAGAAAGAGAAAGAGAAAGAGAAAGAGAAAGAGAAAGAGAAAGAGAAAGAGAAAGAGAAAGAGAAAGAGAAAGAGAAAGAGAGAGACAGGGAGAGAGCGGGAGAGACAGAGATAGGGAGAGAGAGAGAGAGAAAGAGAAAGAGAAACAGAGAGACAGAGACAGAGAGAGAGAGAGAGAGAGACAGAGAGAGACAGAGAGAGACAGAGAGAGAGAGAGAGAGAGAGAGAGAGAGAGAGAGAGAGAGAGAGAGAGAGAGAAAGAGAGAGAGAGATGAAGAGATACAGAGGGACAGAGACAGGAGAAGGGAGGGAGAGAGGACGACAGAACACGCGGGGGAGGAGAGAGGAAGAAGGAGACGAGGGAGAGGACAATGTTGGCGGATTGAGCCGGAGGCTCTAAACAAATTTTACACTATTCGCTTCCCTTGACACCAAACGAAACCTGCCAGGCAAAACCTACTGGGCTATGCCCGTGACCCCCTACGCTATGCCTGCCAGGCTATGCCCTCTACTTCGGGCTATGCCCGGGCTATGCCCTTTAAACTCCCTTGATGCCCAACCAAGCTATGACCTTCAAACTAGGCTATGCTTCCCTTGACACGACACCTGCTAGGCTACACCTGCCTGGCCTCAATTGGAATTATTAGAACTCCTAGGGCTACTTCCAAGTAACACAATTCCTGTCCTTTTAAACATGGGCAATTCAATCTTGAGCCAAATGCACATTGGCATTCGACAACGCAACCTCATGCAACATGGCTACACATCACCATTTTGGCGTACCTCTTTGGGGGTCTAGGGGTCGTGATTGTTCAACCAAGAATTCTGCTAATTCCAGTAGGAATTAATTGAATTCTTAGAATTGATTCTAGGATTCTAAGAATCCTAACAATTGCAGAAAACATGATTGCCAGGGAATGCTGGCCAGGCAAGAATTCCGTCAATTCTAAGTTGGAATTGTTAGAATCGTAGAATGCCCAATCTAGGCTATGCCCTTTTCTTTGGGCTATGCCCGGGCTATGCCCTTTACACTCAACTGTGCTTTCCTTGGCACCAAACTACACCTGCCAGGCTATGCCTGCCGGACTATGCCCCTTACACCAGGCTATGCCCGGGCTATGCCCTTTACACAAACTATGCTTCGCTTCACACCAATCTAGGTTATGCGCTTTACACCAGGCTATGCCCGGGCTATGCCCTTTACACTAAACTATGCTTCGCTTCACACCAATCTAGGCTATGCCCTTTACTTTGGGCTATGCCCGGGCTATGCCCTTTACACTCAACTGTGCTTTCCTTGACACCCAACTAAGCGCTATGCCCGGGCTATGCCCTTTACACTCAACTGTGCTTTCCTTGGCACCAAACTACACCTGCCAGGCTATGCCTGCCGGACTATGCGCTTTACACCAGGCTATGCCCGGGCTATGCCCTTTACACAAACTATGCTTCGCTTCACACTAATCTAGGCTATGCCCTTTACTTTGGGCTATGCCCGGGCTATGCCCTTTACACTCAATTGTGCTTTCCTTGACACCCAACTAAGCTATGACCCTTACACTAGGCTACGCTTCCCTTGACACCAAACTACACCTGCCGGGCTGTGCCCTTTACATCAGGCTATGCCCGGGCTATGCCCTTTACACTAAACGGCGCTTCCCTTGACACCAAGCCAGCAGGGACAAATATTACCTAGAGGTCTCTCACACATATGTATATACATATATATATATATGTACTATGCAACTTAGCGCGGCGGGAACGCAGCGATTTGTGCGATTGCGATTTGCGATTTCTGCGAGCCCAAGGTGAATCGCAGCGATTTGGGGAATAGTAGTTAGTTTGAGGGGATATGTGCTAAGCTTGGTTGGATATGGTTGGGTGTCGAAGCAGAAAACAATTTTCATCAGGGGAAGGCAAAATGGGTTTGGGAGTGATGTTTGCTTTTGTGATTGTGGTTTGGCTGGGTAGACAGAGAGGCGGCAGGTGCGGCAAGGCTCTAGAAACGAATTTCGTCTTGGGAAAATGGGTTTGGGAGTGTTCCCTTTAGACGCAAAAGCTTGTGGCTTCAGATATCACTTTTGGCCCTTTCCCGTGCAGAGAAAGCAAGGCAATGTCAAAACCAATGCTTTCTGCGTTTCGCAATCAGAGCCCCTAAGCAGCGATTCAAAGCTAGCGATTTCAAATCGCTGCGTTTGCGATTCCCTGCTTTTAACCCACAGCGAGTTGAAAACGCAGTGATTTGCGATTGCGAGTTTGCCTCGCTAAGCTATGCAATATAATGAGCACCATCCAGGTGCACATATCAACAAGCCATCCGCAGGAGCTGCAGCCTCTCTACGCCACCCTGCCGCACGAGGTGCCTCTGGCGGACATCGAGGCGCGGTTACGCCTTTGGGCGGTTCCATTTGCTGAAAATACTTTGTTTGTTTGTTATTTTTCCCCTTGTTGGTTTCTCCCCAGGGGTCTTGACTTGATTGATTTATGCCACTTGCTTACTTGCCTTTGTTTTTGCTTAACGTTCTTTGACATGTGTTTTTGTTTTTGCTTTTTGTTGATTTGCTAGATGTGTTGTTTGTTGTGTTTTGCTTGTTTGACGTGTTTAACTTATTGTGCAGGAAGTGACAGGGAACTACAGTTGTGAGGCACCGTTTTGTCAGCTGTATCTCTGGTGGGCGTTCTATTTTCAACCTACCCAGGGCACATATGTACATATGGGAAAAGTCATGTAGAGAGAGATATGTATTCGCAACATACATACAATGCATCCCTGATCAACACCTGTTTGTCTAGCAGGGTTTGTGTCTAAAAAGGAGGCTTACTATTGGTGTCCCTTTCAACCAACCCCACAATTGGTACCGAGCCAAGAACAAACGTCGAGCCACCATATATTGCAGGAAGCTTCCGCCAAGCGTTTGGTCCATTGGGCGCTTTTTTTCTTGCCAGGGCGGCCTGGGCTTGTCATCGGCACGTTACCTGCTGCATCAGTACTTCCTGCGGACGCACTCCTGGACACTTGGCCTTTCAGCCTGCCGGGTCCCGGAGGTAGGGGGTTCTAGGCTAGAGGATGTTAAGGCCGTGTTTGGGCTAGAGGGGAGTTCTGGTGACGTGTTTGGGCTAGAGGGGAGTTCTGGTGAGTGTCCCGACATTTGGTCGTTTCAAGTTCCACTTTGCATCGAACCTGGCAGTGTCAAAAAGAAACATGTGTTGGGATTCTCTGATTGTGCTGCAACTGTTGGCAGCTCTCACAGTCCAGCTTGTGTTTGTTGCGGTCTATTCTGCTTAGCTGGTTGTCAAAAAGCCAACCTGTGATCCGTACAGATTCGGATCCGCACACATGCGGATCACAACCCTGGACGTGCTGCATGTGAGCAGCCCGGGAGAGAATCTGTTTGAAGCTTCTTTCGGTCTCCGTGTCGGCCAGGATGAGGGGACCTGCGTGGGGTTCACTCGATTCGGAAGCTGAAAGGAATAGGCAACGCATCGCCAAATGAGCCACCTGCTCAAAACCGATTCGGGTAGATGAAGGTTAGTAAGGGGCAGTCCCAGCCAGAAATAGTTGCGGAATTCCGCCTTCTTAATTCTTTACATGGTGGGTAGACCTTTTTAAATTAATACCGGGTTTTGATTGTGACTCAAATGCGAGATCATTGGTTGCTTGAGCCTTGACAAAGGTGAGTCTCTGTGTTAAGTCAATGGAGTTCAGACCCAGCGAGCTGCGCCGAACTGGGAAGTCCCAGTTGGAGGTGCGGAACTTACGGCTGATTGCTCTTCGGGTTCATGTGCGGTTCGCGGTCGAGCAATTGGGGGGCAAAGCCAGCCCACTTCAATCCCGTTGCAGCCTGATGTGCGCGATCCCAGACATGGCCATGCTTGGCCCCAGTCGCCCTGCAAAAATCCGCCCCATTCTGTGGAACAAGCTGGGTGCCTGGCCACTTTGTGTCATTCCCCAGAGTGTTGAGGTGAGGGTGCCGCACCAAAGCTCACAAACTCAATGGCTTCGGTCAGGCTGGAGATGCTGAGCTCCCTCAATCACTGCACATTGGGCCAAACACTTGGGCAGGTGCAAAAAAGTCTGGAAATTTCTCCAAAAGTGGTTTCGGAACCACCCCAACCAGGGCCTTCGACGCCAACGTCCTAAGACGGTTCTTCTCAAAACCGCGGCCTTCGAGGTACGTGCGCGGATTGAACCCCGCTGGGGATGGCCGCCAGCCTCCTGAGCACAAGGAGCCGCTTCGGTTCCCGCTGCACCCGTGGGATTCCCAAGGTTTGCCTGGCCCCCCGTGGCTTCCTCAGAGAGCCGGAAGTACCAAGATGCTTTGACCCCTCTCAGCACCCTTCCATTTCTCCGAATTTTCCATGTTCTCTTACGTTCACATTTGAACAGCCAGACGTGTTTTTTGGCTTTCCAACTCTTCCCATGCCCCTTAAAAAGAAGGCTTTTGGCATTTCCATAGCCCCCCAAACGCCTTGGTCTTGGCGGCAAGGGTTCAACGTGGGGTGCTGGATGGCGCGAATCCGCCAGGAGGCGCTGCGGAGCCGCGTGGCCGGGCACCTGCTGGAGGTCTTGGAGCGGAAGGCGAGCGGCACGTCGCGCGAGTGAGGGTTTAGTCTCGCCTTGTTTGCCTTGTTTGCTTATTTGCTTGGTGGTTTGATGGCTTGTTGCTTTGTGTGTTTGTTGCTTTGTTTGCGTGCTTGCTTGCTTGCGTGCTTGGTTGGTTGGTTGGTTCGCTTGTGTGCGTTGTTTCTTTGCTTTCGTTTGTCAAATCGTGCTATTATTGTTTAGGTTCCTATCTGTTTGGTTGGTTGGTGTTTGGCTTTGGCTTATGTCAGTCAATCAGTCAGCGGCCAGCAAGCCTGCCTGTGTGTTTGTCTCTGTTTGTCCTTGTTTGTTTGTGTCTGTCTGTTTTTGTTTTGTGTTTGGAATCTGTGTCTTTGTTTCGCTGTTGATTTTGTTGTGCGGTTTTGCTGGGTTGCTTGTTTGGTTGCCTGTTTGTTGGGTGGTTTGTGGGTGTGTGTGTTCGTTGTTGCTTGCTTGCTTGCTTGCTTGCTTGCTTGCTTGCTTGCTTGCTTGCTTGCTTGCTTGCTTGCTTGCTTGCTCTTGACAGGACACGGCTAAATCTGGCAATCAATTTTGAAAAGCATTGCCAACACAATTCAACCCTGAAAACTGACATGGAGCCGGCCAAACAACGATACTTCTGAGTGTCGAAGACTTGTTTGGGCTTCCATCTACATTTTGGGAGCAAGCGTCAGTCATCGACATCAGGGAAGCATCCCCCGCCATTGTCAATACAAGCTTCAGCACCTCCAAAAAGAAATCCCTTGCTGACCTGGTGACTTTATGGCAACCCCAAAGCAAGTACTGCATCGGATACACGCCAACTGTTGAGTCATCGATGTTTCTTTTCGCGCTTGGGTTCATACATAAGTTTGCCCCTTTCGCACCAAGCCAAAAGGGAGATCGCCCAAAAACCGACCCACAGACACCCAGACACCTAGTGCCCTTTTTCCCTTTGTTTCAAGGCGGCTTGCTGTTGAATTTCCGGGTGCCTGCCCTTTCGCCATGGAAATTCCACGTGGAATCTCAGGTGGGTGGCCAGGGACTGAACCTCCAGACGCTGGCGCCTGGGTCTGGCGATTGCTGGTAGGGGGCAGGGGGGTGGTCCCCGAAAATGTCGTGTTTGTCCACACGTTGCCCTGGAACCCAAATGGCGAAACAAAGAAATGATGGCTCGGGCTTGGCAGATGCTGGGAATGTATATTGCAGAACAACTCACGGCCTGCAAAGAACCTTGGTTAGGCGCTAAAGTGGCCCCTATTGGGGAACCCCCTTTTGAGGGGCCCTTGACAAGAAGGCAAACAAAAACACGAGGCAGAGTGTGTCACTCTGCGTGTGTGTATTTTTTCAGGGGAGCGATTTTTGGTCTGTTTTTCAATTGTTGGGGTGGTGTCCAAGCTTTAAAAAGACACACCCAAATCTGCAGCTTTCGGATGACAGAGGCCCAAAGCTGTCACATTTGTCCGTAGCTGAATGCGACTCTGTTAGAAGCTGAGGTTTTGAATGGATTGCCCACGCCAACTTTGTGATTTGTCGGTCCTGCAAGCGGTTCTGTTGAGCGTGATAGGGGCCTTACAAAGCCGAGTGGGCTGGGCTTACCCGTCATAGAATATTGATTCCAGCCGTTCTAGATTGGACACTGTACAATGCACCATCCGCGACCTTCTGTTTTTCGTGCTTGCCCAGTTCTTTTCTCAGTTGCTCCGCCAAAAACTGAATAGTCAAGAAAGGTCAAGCCTTTTGGCACCTCAGGCCACTCTAGCTGTTTCCTTAAACCAAAAAAGATGACCAAAACACAGGGGGCATATCACTTGACAGGGATCAATGTTCTCCACTCCAAATGAACAACCAACTTGCACGGGACACAGGTGTCATCCCCACTTGCAATTCTTTTGGCTTGCTCTGGATGAACGAGATTAACGAGCCAAACAGGATTTGGGAAACAGTGGCTTGGGGTGCTCGTTGGAAGAAGTGGCCTTGGTCATTCCAGGAACCGGTGGGGAGAATCCAGCGAACCTTGCTGAGGCTGTCTTCGTCGCTACGCTTGAGCATCTTCTGCACGGGGACGAGCGTGGCCTGGCCCCGTCCTGCCGAACTGGGAACGAGGGAACATTTTTTTCGGCCAAGGATTCAGGTGCTTCCACCTGTGTTGCTATATGAGTTCGAGCCAGTTCCCATGTACTGCATGAAAGCAATTGGATTATACAAATTGGTTGTAGTGCTTGTCTTTGTGGGCTAAACTCACCCACCCAGCGTTGCATGGCATCAAATCGATATGGCAGCAGCATGCCAAAAGGTGCGTCTGGCCTTTAGATCTTGGAGCACTTTGCAGGTCCCATCTCGGAAGCAGCTTGTTTATTTGGGTATGTGTTGGTTTGAGGGTACCATTTTTCAGGTTGGCTTAAACCAGAGAAAAGCTCAGGGTCCTTCCTTGACACACAATGTTGGCCCCATGTTAACCAAACCCCGTTTATTAATAGTGGGAGCCCCTCCAAAAGTGGTCTGATTCCAACCACCTTTCACCCAGGGAAAAGCACCGCCTGCTAATAAACTGGTTGGTGGATGAAAATACTGGGTCAACATTGCCCATGCTGCTTTTCAAGATTTGGTATCCGAGGCCAACGGCTGAAGCAAAGCTGGGCAGTGCATGACTTGGATTTGCAGGCAGGGCACGCGGCTCACGGAACGCCAGAAATACGCAGTGTTTCTCAAGATGGTTTTGTTGGGAGACCAACGGACAGAGGGGTCCCCAATTTCGAGACTCCCACTTTGCTCGGCAGAAAAGGGAGCAATGTTTGCCTGTATTTGGGTAGCTGTTGGTGGTACATGTAGCCAAATGTCAATTACCTGGAGGCTCTGGGATTGGTTGATGCCTGCCTTAGATGGTCTTCAGCACCAAATTGAGACAGTTGGGTGAAGAAGATGGTTGGATTGTGGTTACTTGTTTTTTCGACAAGAGTCCATTTTGAGGCAACGAGGACAGGTTGGGTGCCTGTGCTCCTTGGCACCTAATGACAGTCCAGTCACGGGCGGGTCGGCTGTCAGGATGTGACAGATGCAGTGGGTCTGCAAAGCGTCCTGGCACCATGGCCGCAGCGAGAGCTAAGTACTCCCAGTAGCTTTAAGTTGGGAGGTGAGTTCTAGCAGGTATCAGATGAGACGTTGTAATGCCCCCCATCAACCCCATTTTGTTTGCGGTTGCCTCTTGTAGTCCGGGTCCTCGTTGACCCTATGCTCAGCCAGCTAGCGGGCGCACTTTGCACTTTTTCCTTGGTGGCTTTCCATTTATTTTAGTGGTGGCCCAAAAAGTGTGCACTTTTTTTTGGCTGGTCACTGGCCAAGTGAGTATGGTGGGATCTCTGAGTTGCTGTTGATTTGTGTTGTTTTTCCTTGGTTGACAACCCCCCCCCCCCGCCCCAAACAGCTGGCGGTGTTCCGCTTGGTTTCCCTTCAAAACCACCAAAACTCAGGTACAACTCCAAGCAAAAGGCACACCCACAACGGGGGCACCGCTGGGGCTGAATGCCTATGTGACTGGGACCCCCCCCCCTCCCCAAATTCATAGCCACGGGCACATGGATTCAACCGCTCAAAAATTCGCTCTCGGCTTGGCTTCCAGGAGGTCTTCATGGCCCATTTCGTGTACTCCAGCCAGCAGCTTGGCTGGAAGAAGGCAGCTGGCAGTCATGTGACACGGTTTGTGGTTCTCTTTGAGCATCACCTTAACGTGGTTGTTGTAAAGAAACATTTCACATTTTGCTTGTTGTGGTTTAGTGGAAATTTCGACTTAACTGCTAAAACATATGTTTTTGCTCCCCTTCCAACGTCAACCAAGTTAAAAGGGAACTCACTTTACCGGTTCAACTTAAGTGTTTAGCGTTTTAGTAATTTAGTGAGGATGTCCATATAACCCAGTTTGCTTGGTGATTCCCAGGCATGCGGTTGAACTTAGGTTTGTAGTTGTTTTTAGTGGGTTTAGTGTTTGGGTGTCCATTTAACCCAGTACAAGTTACACTGTTTGCGGGGAATCTGAGGACAGCCAAGTTTGAATTGGCCCAACAGGTGATGTTTTAAACAGCCAACAGGGGAAATATAGGGAAACTGGCAATCAATCCTCCGAATCACCGAAATTCTCAGTGACATCAAGTTATGCTCAAGTCATGTTCATTTAAGTTTGTCCACCAGTTCCTTGAAATTATCTGATTCCTTTAGATTAAGCTTTTAGGTTGTGTTTCCCGCCGTGATTGAAAACTATCGCCAAGCCTGCCAGCCCTCGCCTGGCCCGCACTCGTCAGAGTGGACTTGCATGGCAGGGGAAGGAGGTCATGCAGAGATCGAGGTATGCATGAATCATGAAGTTGAGTTCTGCCCCAGCTTGCTACTCGAATGCTGACTATCATAGGTGTCCTTTTTGGGGTTAGTCTGGATAGAAATAGATGGGTTCCACTGGTTTAGATAGGTCAACTCTTCCATTTTTCAGGGAAACTCATCTCATTTTTCCAAAGGCTCACCACGGCTCACCTATGATTTGGACTCCCCACTGTCTACACCAGTTCTGGTTCTGTCCCTCCCGGTTCTAACGACCCAACCGGGTCTAGCGACCCACCCACCCGGATGCCTCGACAGCCGTCGACGTCCGAGGAAGTCGGACTCCGGCTACGCGCTGACGCTGGCCAAGGGCCGGGAGGAGGTGAGCTTCGTGGCGCGGGTCTATGTGGCTTGGTGCCTGAAAAAGTCGCCGGAGGTTCACCCCAGATGTGAACCGTTTTTTTTTTTGTTATTTACAAACAAACAGCAGCACACTGTTTGATGCTTGTTCAGTGTTTTGATAGCTCAATTCATATCCATCCAGACTGTGGGTGGTGGCGAAATCCAGTTCGCACCACTTGAAACCATGGTTGAAACCATAGCGTGTGCTGGTTGTTGTGCAGGAGTTCGTCCATCCACAGTATTAATCAACCCCAGTTTATTAGCAGGGTTCGGTGTAGTGGGGAATCAAACAACTTTTGGAGGGCCCCCCCTATTCATTCTAAGCTCATATGGGGTCAACATTCATATTATGGTTTGATGTCCCGAGGAAAACTTGAGTTCACTGCCTTCTTGTGGTTGTGAATGCTTGTTGATGCTTGTGCAGGATGTGCTGTTTTGCCTATCAAGATAAGCAGTGTACCATACACTTAGGAGCAAAAATACCAGCAGCCATGCTGATTGTTGTGAAGACAGGTGCGGCAAAAAGATCGCCCTGAATGTCGAGGCCAGCGATGAGATTGCTCGGGTCAAAGCAAAGCTGCGGAATGTAGTCAAGGTTTGTGTGAAGGAGCAGTGCCTCACGTTTAATTCGACGCCATAGACGAGCAGACTTGGTCGGACTGCATTCAGGAGCAAAGCATGTTACGTGTCCTGAGGAAACGGAGCGTGATTGATCTCCGCGTCAGGCCAGGAAGCTGACCCATGGGTCAGAGATTTGATGCTTTCTGCTAAAGAACGGGAGCGTGCAGAGGTGCCTTGGGATGCAGTCAAAGAGAGGGCAAGATGCGAGCACGCCAGCCCATATTTGACATTCAAGTTCTCAACAGATGAAGACATCCTGGGTCATGAGATCCGTCTGCTCCTTGGCTCCTTCCTTGACTACATGTGGGAACATGCGGCGGCGGATCTGGGCAGCAGATCCAACGACACGCCTAATTCTGATCAGCGCGAACTCGCCCACATGAGCATTTGCATCGGAGACACTGAGTTGCTGGGCCTATTGGGCTTCTGTGGCCATGCAAATGGCGCCGACATTCTAGCCAAGCTGCGGTCCATGTTCGAGGAGCCTCTTGAAGGTCCTCAAGATCATGCTCGCCCCAAGATCGTGCTGCGAATTCTCAGGGCCCCTAGGGACTGCATCGACTTTCACTGCCATTCCTCTGTGACCAGCCTTCAGATCGCATTGAATGACCCAGACGAGTATTCAGGCGCCCAGCGTTGCTTTTTTGTGAACAATATCCTTCACGGGTTTTCTTGTCCCGGGGGATCTGTATGTCAGCATTCGCCGAAGGTGCTGCATGGTGTTTCTGCCCTGACAGCAGGCACTTGCAAAAGCCTGTTGGTGGTCGATCAAAGCCGTGACCTAGGTGAGCAGGGAGTGGTGGTGGTGGTGGCGACGTGTGCTGATGTGCAAGGTTTCATTGAGAATCTGAGAGAAGCTCACGACGACAGACGGCAGCGAGTGCAGATGTGCTGCGTGTGTATGGAGAATCCATCTGACCATGTTTTGCTGCCGTGTGGCCACGTTTGCCTGTGTTGCGAGTGCGTTGGGCATACTCGTATTGGCAATTGCCCAATTTGCAAGGGAAGTGTGACGAGCAAGCACAATATCTTCCTCTAGGGAGCTGAATTCATGCTGCCATGCCGGCATGCGGCAATGAGATTGAGTGAGGCACGGAAAGATGTTGACTGGTGGAAAAATGCAAGCGAATGTCACGGGAGTTGGTTTCTCTTCATGGTCTCATTTACAGATCCCTTCTGCAGAAATGGGCTTTCGTCAACACGCCTCTAGGGACCCTGGATGGAACGGATTTGAGGCAGCCGCTGGTCCCGCAAAGCCGGTGCATACAAGTCTCTTTGCGGCCATGAGCTCACTTGCTTCTGTACGGCTGGCAAACCATCCCCCTTTGAGGGTTTCTATTCTTTTCGGGGGATGCTTTGGCGGAGGCTCTTGCGGTTGAAACTGGCTGCAGATAGGGCAAGTCCGGGAGTCAGATTTCCCCTGTCATTAGCAAAGTGGTTGATGTGCTTCGAAAGGCGAGGTAAGGACTTCAAAACCATGATGTCCAACCCAATTGCCAACTGGGGTTGTATACAAACACCGTTGATTTACGTTGAATCTTCGGAGGGCCCTTGTAATATCTAAAACTGCCACGATTGACTGAACATGATAAGGCGAAACAAACACGAACGATAATGGGATCGAGCTTGTTGGGTAATTGTTATATGTTTGCGTGTTTGTACATTTGCGTACCTGTGTGACTCTGCTTGCATGTTTGTGAGGTTGTGCCCGAGATCTGTTTGTTTGTTTGCTTGCTTGCTTGCTTTGTTTGTTTGCTTGCTTGCTTGCTTGCTTGCTTGCTTGCTTGCTTGCTTGCTTGCTTGCTTGTTTGTGTGTGTGTGTGTGTCTTAGCGTCTGTGCGTCTATGTCTTTGTGGCGTTTGTTTGTGTACGTTGTGTTCTGAGTGTCGCTGCCTTTGCATATTGACTGGTACAGTGAGCTACGTGGTCCCAATGATACTATATATATAAGTGGCGGAGCACATCAATTTTCTCGGAGCAACCACGCTTACCATTCACGTAGCTTTGGATTGCCACTTACTTCTTGCCATCCTTTGTTGAACATGGGGAATCCGAGAACGAAACAATGAGTGGGTCCTTTTTGTTTTGCTTGATTTTCAGCCAAAGACGTAGTGCGGGATGAAGGTTGACATGGCAAGTTGCCGTCGGCTGGCTCGGTCCTCCCGATTGCATGGTCAAAGCCATCCTTGAAGTGGTAGAGTCAAGGGAACAAAATTTGTCTGACCTTGACCCCAGTCATCTCGCAGGTTGTAGATTCCAGGGGAACAAAAGTGGACCCCAGAAATCGTCGACAGTTTCAACCCACTTCGCCCCACAGCGGGGCCTCCTTCCTCATCTAAGGCCTGACAAGCCAGGCATGGATTTGGTGTAAACTAGACGCGGTGCCTCACAGAAATGTGGGTGTTTCTCCAAATGCACATGGTTGGTTTGCTTTTGCTTTCCCAATAAAGCCATGCAACGGGTTCCCGAATTTGGAGACGTACCCATTTCATGCAACTGACACGGGATACTCAATCGACTTGTTGTGAGGACTCGGCTTGAAGGAGTACGGGGAGGTTGTTCAAGACAGACCAAGTATATATCCAATTATAATTTGTTCTGGCCCAGGTAGACATGCATGCTGACTCAAAGCATAGTCAGCCTTTCGAGCCTCCACACTGAGCATACTAGTTCACGGAGCGATATGATAAATTGCTGCCTATCAACGCAGTAGCATGAGTCTATGGAAAAGCTTGAGTGACGAAATGGTTGGTTCTCTCCCACTCAAATGCTGGCCGCAGTTTTGAGGGAGGCGAAACACCACCTATCTCCGATCAAAGATCATGCAGGATGTGCAAAGGTTGGGAATTTGTTGCATTTGCCAGAGATCATGCCAGTAGAATGAAAGAATGAACACCTTTGCTGCAATTGCCCGAGTCAATACTTTGTTGCATTTTGCTTGGATGTTAGGACTTTAACTTTTTGCCAACCAATGGTTTTTTCAATAAGCCACAAAAAAAACTGTTAGCAGGGGAACAGAAAGCAACCGAGAATTACAGAATGTGCTGCGACTGACACCTGCCAAGGACGGCTGGAGGAGTGTCCACGAAGCCATCCGCGAAGGGGTGAAGAAGCAGATTTCAGCGGCAGGCCGAGCCAGCGGGCAGATCACGATCCAACTTGGCCAAAATGTGTCGTGACTTCACAAGAAGAACATGCAATGAATCGACTTCTTTGCTTGGCACTTCTGTGCTATAGTGTTTCATAGGTGGGAAGAGGAATAGAGCGAAAAGTTGATAGTGCCATCAATGTGCCTTGCGATAGTTCAACCTTTGCCTAAGGGGAACTGTGTTTTCTTTACCCAGGAGCAGATGTTGCGGGGATACGACCGCCCTGGGTCTTCAAGGAGTTCTCACTGTATATGCACAATATATATATATATATATATATTAATATATACGTATGAATACGAAGGCCCTATCATTTGGGGCCTGGATGTGGTGCCAGCTTTGCCCCTCAGCACCAGGTTTGCTCCTGTTGAGTTTTGCACCGTTGGTTATAACCCTAGATGTGCCTCTATTGCACTTATTGCTGTTTGCTTTTCAAGAAAGCTTGCGTCACTTTGCCACTCTTTCACAAAGCAATGGGCTACATTTGGCAAAAGTGTAACAAGGGCAAACTGTTCATGGAAGCATGGGTGACTTCAGGGCCAGCGACCGAGGCAAGATCAAGTTTTTAGGCACCCAATGCAGTCAGTATGAGTAGGCCTTCAGACTTGCAGGGAGATTTGCACTTCAAAGCGGTGAGGGAAGCTTTCGAGTTCCGCTCACTCGGTTTGGGGTCTTTCGGAGCACCAACCGGTTTTTCCGTCGATGGCATTCGCACAGCTGAATGCGAAAGGGCTCGTTCCTTGGGGTGGCCGCTTTTGGGCTACACACACTCTTTGGTGCGTTGCACTCTGCAACACTGAGCGCAAAACCATAAGCCCGTTCTATCGTCCAATTGCCTAGGCTACCTACTCAAGGCTTCAAGCCAAAGGACATACGTGAAACGCGGCTGTCCCACGGAAAATGTATGCGACGCAATACTTACATAGCTTGCCAGTGCCAGTCGAATTACTACAGGCATTTGAGTATGTCCACAATGTGCGCCAAAAGTGGTCCAGGGTCCCGATTTCCAGCATGTGCCAACTCGCTTGGCGTATGTGGATCTGCTTTTAGGGTACTTGTACTTGTTGTTTGGGGTTTTTAAGTGAAGCCAAGAGGACAACCGCTGGTTTGGGGGTTCTGAAAAGAAGACAACCCCATGGTCAAGAGTCAAGAAGAAGCCCAAAGAATCCATCCCATTGGAGACACTATGTCAAAGTGTGCTTCCAGCACCCGATGTGATCATGTGCTTGCCACGTAGGGGTTGGTCCATTTTTGGGTAAGCCTTGGAAGCCAAACAAATGAATCGAAGCCATCACGGAGACCCAAGGCCTGATGGACAAAATCCGCAAAAGAATGAGTTGAAAGGTGGTTTATCAACCATCATGGACCCCGAGGGCTATGGGGAGGGGGCGCTATCCCTTATGAACCCCTCAACAAGGCCTTGTTAGAGCTTGTCCTTGGCTTATCCAGGGACCGCACCCGGGGATTTCATATCTCTCAAGTGTTTACACTGAAGGGCTTGTCCTTGGCTTATCCATCGCCCCCTAGGGGTCCATTCCGGGTCCATGACACCAGAATTTTCAGTGTTTCATACCTCCCAAGTGGTGCCTCTCAGGTGAGGGGGGCGTTCCTGCACCCGCACAGGCGCCGACCTGGGCTTTTCCTCCGCCGCCGCGGTGGCCGACGAGGTCAGATGGCTGCCCCCGGGGTTTTTCGGGAATGGATGGATCAGAACTGCAGCCCGAACACGTGCAAAAGGGCGACCCAAAAGAATGGACCCGGCAAAAGGGAAGGCTAGAACATGCGAGGAAGGGCGTGTGCCAATGATGTGTTAATCAGGGATTTGCCTTAATCCCCGCCCAGTTGTTTCAATGTAGACTTTCTATTCCTGACCAATCACAGTAATCCGCCCCCGGGTGGCAAACCCATGGTTTACGCCAACCAACAAAAGCTTCAAAGGTTGGATGGGTTTGTCAGATGAAATGGGCTGTTTGAAAAGGAAACGAGGAACGCAGAGCATGTGGAGGGTTCCGTTTTTGTTGAGACATACACGAATAGCAAGTTGAATGTCAATAAGGAACCCCGCAACAGTGGTGGACATAAATCCCCGAAATGCTGTCCACCAAGGAGTCCCCAATGAAGACCCAGTCTCCGTAGCCGGGGAAAACATCTTCTGAGGCCTTGTGTGTGTGTGTGTGTGTCAGTTTGAGTAGTTGATGTTGTTCCTTCTTTGGTTGTTTGTTGTTTGTCTATTTGTTTGTTTGCTTTTGTTTGTTTGCTTGTTAGTTTCTTTGCTTGTTTTGTCGTTTGTTTTTTTGTTTGTTTGGCTGATTTTGTGCCATCTTCTCAGCACTGTTTCGGAGCCCAATGGATTTTGGTTGAACGACGCAGCCGTTCCCTGGGTCTCGAAGATCGCAGGTGCACTGCTTCGTTTCAATTTCTCGCGCTCGGAAGTTTGTCCATAGACTGTCATGAAGGGAGAGGTTCCACATGGCCTTTAGATGGCCCAAGCAGCTTGCTTTGGCCAAACCAACTTTTATGGAGCCCCCCCTGCTATTTGCAGGGTCACCTGCGGAGTTAGTGGAAGTACGTTGGGACGCGGCTTCCCTAAGCAACATGTCGAGCTTGTTTACTCACTGTAGCACAACTTTGTATCTGTCTTAAAGTAGGGAAAGCACCCAAAAGGAAAAGAGAGATCTGGATTGCACATCAGCAAGAATGCTGCAGTGCAAAGTTTAGAGCCCGCGGCAACAGTGCCACCGAACGCCTTTTGATTCCCTCTATCTGCACGCATGGCAATTTAGGAAGACGGTGCAATGCTATGAAAGGCGCCACACGAGTGCTCGACTCCAATTTTCCGCGATGGCCGTCGGCCTCTTTGCGACCGGTTTCGCGCAGGTCTTGGAGTCCTTCAGAACGGTGTCCGGCTCAATTTGCCGCTTGCCTCGGGGAGGTTCCGCATGTGGTGCCGAAACTTGGTGGCTCCCTTCCATCCGGTTCCTTAGCTTTTTAGCGGTTTAGCGTTTAGTGGGGGTTTCCATTTGACCCACTAAAAGTGAAGCTTGTAGTGAGGAGCCCAGGAAATTCGGCGTCTGGTTGCATGTCAATTTGGACCAACCAGAATGGGTCTGTCTGGTTTGAGGACTTGGACAACCAACATTGATGTCGTTCTTCCTTGTTCCTTTGAAACCAAGCAAAAGAAACGGTACCCTCAAAAAAGAAAACCAACTGGGCTTCCTTTTGTTTTCCATTACATGTCCAAGCAGCAGCCTTCGAAAAAGGCACTGGCTGTGAGGCTTACTGGGCTAGCCTGATGTGTTAGAAAGCGATGCAGTTCCCCCGGTCCTCGAGCGCACAGTTGCAAAATGGCAGGGTTTGGACGAAAGGCGCCAGGCCAATCCTGTGGCTTAAACAAAAGCAGAGGATTCCTTCGCGGTGTCGGCTCCATCCTCAGGGAATCAAAGCTGGAACTGTCCCCTTGCGATGGAAAATGGGTTCGTGGAACACTGCAGCCCTCAAATCGCACAAAACGGCCCAAAGCAACATGCTTCCTTGACAAAAGCATCCCCGCACGCCTCAGATTCATTCCAAGGAAGACCAACATGCCACACGCCTTCAGATGCCTTCCAAGGAAGATGCATTCCAAGGAAGACCAAGTTGAAACCTACCACCAGGAAGCTTCCCTTGAGACGGTGCCTCCTTTAGGCCGCGACATGGTGTCCTCGCTGGCGCAGATGCCCGGCGGCGCGGACGGCGCTGTGCCACTGGCGGAGATGCGGAAGAAGGACGGCGAGCCAGTGCGGACGGATGACTGGGCGGTTCCCAGAAGTCCGATTCCACAAAGCTGTTCAGTTGTTGTTTCGTTTGGTTTAGTGCTTGGGGGTCCATTTGACCCATCCGGTTCAACTTGGCCTTTTAGTTGTTTGTTTGCTTGGTTTAGTGGTTGGGTGTCCATTTCACCCACCACAAGTTATACTTTTAGCAGCGGACCTGAGGACAGCACTCATAAGTCTCTTATGTCAAGTATGTGTAGAAAGAAAACACTTAAGTCACCTAGCGGTCTTATCAACTGGAGAGGTTTTTTTCGAGTACTGTGGATCGACAAAATCCACACAGCCCACCAGTTGGCTGGCGGTTTATCTCATTCACAGGGCTTCAGCCAGAATTTTCCGTGGCACCCGTTCTCCCCCCAACAAAAAACGGCTCAACCCCGCAAAGAGTTTTTCTACCAGGGTCACTGGGCAAACGGGGAGTGGACATGGCGCAGTTTTTGCCGTGCTGCGATGGGAACTCAGGAGTACTCAACCCTTCGCTGTTGAATGAATTGGGGGTGCCTCATGTTGAACGGGGAAGACAATTATTCTTTGATCTTTTGGGTCATGCACCACCCCATCTATCCGCCAGGTTTCTTGTTCCGTCAACATTTATTGACACCAGCGGTGATCCTTTTAACATGTGGGTGTTTCCTACAATTTGGAAGCCCATTGTGGATGCCCTCTTTGGCGCAAAGTGTAACCACGACTTTGGGGGAAACTCTCGTTTTAGGCACCCAGTTGCTTCTTGGGGAGTTTTTTCAGGTGCTCTCCTCTTGAGTCCATAGTGATTGGTCAAAGCGATGGCCTGGCTTTGCTAAACCAGTTTCAAGCAGTTGGATCGAACTCAACGCACCTCTAAAAAGGGGTGCCCATGTCAATGTTTTGACTGGACGTTTCACGTGTTGACGATGGGAGGAATACGAGTTCTGGCTAGGAAGGTAGAGTTCACCGTTGCGAAGGCAGCAGAAGCCAACAATTAGGAAGGGCCTGATTTTTTGGTGCATTCAACATGATGGGTGCCTCCTTTGAAAGCGTAATGAGGAAATCGGAGGGTTGCAAATGCGGCTCTGTTGTCGAGCAGGAGTTCCTTCTCGGGCATGTTTGTGGGGCTCCACTGTAGTGTTCAGGGCTGTTGTCAGCACTGTTGTCAATCCGTGCGTGTCAATCAACAGGATTGAATACGTGGTCATTCATTGTGGAGGATGTGGTCACATAGTTGACACTTTCCTGCTGATGCTGATCATGACGAAGACGATGATGCTGATGATGATGACGATGATGATGACAATGTTTATCATGATGATATTATATTGATAATGATGATGATGCTGACTTTGCTGCTGATGAGGCTGATGCTGTTGGTGGCGGTGGCGGTGGGGTGGTGGTGGGGAAAAGGACAATGGTGATGTTCTGCGGCCATTGCCCAATGCATGTACCGTAGCCTTTAGCTTCCTGTGTGGGCTTCTTGTACACCCGGAAGCTTCGGCGCCTTCGTTTGAGGCTGTCAAAGCTTTTCATGGTCGCTTCCTTGGCAAGGTCTTGGGGGGGGATCCTATTCTAAGCAGATCAGCCCTTTTTGGAATGCGCAAGCACTGCAGGACCTTTTCCGCCGCTCGGCATGGGTGGTTTGGTCTGCTGGCAAGGAGTGCGTTGTGCGATGGGTATATTTGTCCCAAGCTTCTTGATGGTTGCAAGGAACACCAAGGGCAAAACAGCACTGGCCATTGGCAATGGGCCAAGCTTCTGGGTGTGCTTTGCGCGCGCGCGTGTGTTTTTGTGTGTGAGCTTGGCGATTTCAAGTTGCTACGGAGCGTCCATGAGATGCAATGTACACGAATTGGTTCGATGGCTTGCGACTGTTCAGTTGTGGCTCGCCCTGGACAGTGTCCTGAAACCGCCAGGCTGTCATTCAGCTGCTGGATTCTTTGGCTACTGGAAACACGCAGCTGTATCATGTGGACCCCTCGCCCTGTCGGGGTACTCGAGCAAAGGACAGGACTTATGCAGGGATGCGGGGTCATTCCGGGTCAAATGGACAAAATCGCGCGCTCCTGGAGCAGGTACTGTAGCCTGACATAGACAGCACATGATGTTGATATAATATATAGTACACTAAATGTGTGTTTTGCGCGCGCACACACACACACACACACTCGCACATGCACTGCCTATGTTTGAATTGGAGGGGCTGAGTTCAGGCCATTTCAGGAGCCCAGGCAGCGGGTTTGTTGTAGATCTTAGGTGAGACGACGGACTATTTGCGCGCCGCCAACGCCCTGGATGAGTCCAATGCGCAGAAGCCGGTAGTGCTGGTGGCAAACTACATGCGCCTTGGCTATTTTTGGATATGCTGGATATTTTGGCACGCAGGCACAAAGCCCAGTGAAAGAGGTAACGAAACAAAGGCGTCCAGAAGGCACTGGCTTGACGAATTGGAGATGGTACGGCAATTGTGTGCGCGCTGTCAGCATGGGGCATCAGAAAGCCGCCAGTTTACATCAATTCTACTTGCAGCTTCTGATGGTATCAAACAGATTAAGTTTGGACTCATGACTCATGATTTTCGTCAATGGTTTGGTATTATGATAGCGTGTGTGTGTGTGTGTGTGTGTGTGTGTGGTGTGTGTGTGTGTGTGTGTGTGTGTGTGTGTGTGTGTGTGTGTGTGTGTGTGTGTGTGTGTGTGTGTGTGTGTGTGTGTGTGTGTGTGTGTGTGTGTGTGTGTGTGTGTGTGTGTGTGTGTGTGTGTGTGTGTGTGTGTGTGTGTGTGTGTGTGTGTGTGTGTGTGTGTGTGTGTGTGTGTGTGTGTGTGTGTGTGTGTGTGTGTGTGTGTGTGTGTGTGTGTGTGTGTGTGTGTGTGTGTGTGTGTGTGTGTGTGTGTGTGTGTGTGTGTGTGTGTGTGTGTGTGTGTGTGTGTGTGTGTGTGTGTGTGTGTGTGTGTGTGTGTGTGTGTGTGTGTGTGTGTGTGTGTGTGTGTGTGTGTGTGTGTGTGTGTGTGTGTGTGTGTGTGTGTGTGTGTGTGTGTGTGTGTGTGTGTGTGTGTGTGTGTGTGTGTGTGTGTGTGTATGTTCACATTTGGCACCATTTCAAGCAGGGGTTGTCAGCAACAGGAGTTGAGTATGGAAATGGTTTCCCTGTTCCCTTTGACTGTTCGCCGCTGATTTTGCACCTGGAACGAATGTGTTGATGATATGGAGTTGCTTCAGGTATCATTGTTTTTAGTTGACCGCCTTGCCCTTGCCTGGCAATCCATCGGCAATTGCAGTATTGCATACATATCATGCAGCAGCACACAACATCAGCGTAACCTCAGAAGAGCTTTGGAGAATCCCCTCCTTTGCGCAGCCGTTGCGCGACCTCTCTCGAGGTTGGGCCCCTCAAACTGCGACGGGACCACCAGCACCTTGGCTAGAAGTTGTGTTGCCACAAAGCCGTTGCGTGTGAAGGACATCACACGGCATGTGGCCCTGCCATGCAAAATAGCTTGACAGATCGGGAGGAAAGGGCTGAAAGGGAGGAGGGGCTTACCAGCTGCAAGTCAGGACAAAAAAGGAAAGCAAACAAAATCAAGGAAACGGACCAGGGTGGACTCCTTTAAAGCCACCAATAAAGGTACCCTCAAGCCGTGCTAGCGGATGTGAGTGTGTGTGTGTGAGTGTTTGCTTGTTGGCTTGTTTTGCGTGATTACTCCATTTAAGGGGCTTGAATGTGGGCCTAGCGATCTGCCCAGAAAGTTTGATTCCCTCCGGATAGTGATCATTAGTTTCATCTATATATATATATAGAAGTTGTTTGACAGCCACCGAGCAAATGCTCGGCTTCTTTACTCAACGTGCAGAGCCCAGGCTCTAATGATTGACTGTCTTTTTCAAAGGGATCCATTTTAGGTGAAGCTCTCCAAGAACGGTCCTTTGGATGAAGCTCTGATCCTCCCAAAATTCGGATCAACCTCCTTGGTTTAGCTGTATCCCTCCTTCTGAGTCGGCGTGTTCTGAGGTGGGTGCGCGCTAATCTTGAAAGACCGATTAATCATGATTAATCCAAAGTTGAGACGAAGTCGAGTTGACCTTAGCTGGTCAATCTGGAACTGTCCCAAGGCTTCTACGACCTTTGCTGCCCTGACGCCTGCGCAGGCACGCTCATGCTGGCTGATGGACATGTTTCCTCAGACTAAAAGCCTTGCATGCGGGGCATTTGGGTTGCCAAAATGTGTTTGGGCCACTATGTCGTTCTTGGAGGACAAAACAAGATGGGGGCTTTGAGAAAGGTAATGTTTTGAAGGATCTCGGAAGAAATTGGATCAGGGGTTGGGGTCAAACCAAACGTGAGAGCAACCATGCCCTGTCGATGTATGTTGCTGTTCTGCTAGAATACCGCATCTAGCCTTGGTTGGGGATGCTTGCAAACCTCGCCACTGCCCCACTTGTTGTGCCTGAAACTAACTCTATTGCATTTTCGGCTTGGCGGTGCCTGAACAAATCGCCCTGTGACAATGTGGGCAAAGGTGGAGCGCTGAGGGAACATGTTTAGCCACTCTTGTTTGAGCTTTGCCTGTCTGCTATTTGGTCCAATCTTTGAACTTGAAAGCTTGGAACCATGAAATGTTCCGCTCAGCAGCAAGCTCTTAGACTCTCATTGGGGACTGATTGCTTGCAGGGCCCTTTGTTGCCAGCCACAAAGTCTAAAGAGTCCATGAGGGGGTCCTTGCTATTACCAGTACTTGAATTGCATGAGAGAAACTATCTATTGCTTCTATTTCAAGGGCGCGTCGTTTAGGGTTGTGTTTAAGGTGGATATTTAACGCCTGGAATCCCTCTCGAAATTTTGTTACATTTAAAGGTTCACAAAATGACCAGACTCACACCTCAAATTCTGGTTGCGCAGCTGAGGCAGATGACTTGCAACCTGTGTAGGAATTCAATCGAAATCGCTTGACTGAAAGTCCGGGTACCCTTGAAAGGGACAAAGTGGTCATGGGGATGGGAATCCCACTTTTGTATCACGGAAAGGGTGCTCGTCATTGTTTGTTTGTGGCCAAAGAAACAAACACAAAACCGGAAAGGGTTGTTTTCAGCTTCAATAGGTAATTTGGATTGGTGGTTCAGGTGTAGTTTCCCATTTACCCTTCACAAGAACCAAGGGTTCAAATCCGATTCCAGACCACCAACCCAAACCCCAAAGTAAGGATTACCTGAAGCAAGTCATCCCAACTACACTGACCAATTGGTGGTTTGTGTTCCAAGCACCTCAAGTCTCCATGACCCTTGAATTCATGGGTCCATGACCCGATTATTTTGGGCAATGACTCTGGGGGTTGATTCTCCATTCTTTTCAACCATCGTTCTTTTAAAACCACCAATCGCTGTTCCCCCTATGTTCCCCCTTGGATTCTGCTGGTTTTCTGAACAGAAGGATCCCTGTAAAACAAGAAATGGAAGTGTCCCCTAGAATGACCCTCTCCATTACCATTGAAACAAGTGGGTCCATGACGCCCAATCATGTACTGACCAACCATGACTTGATTGTTTCTGAATAATCACCCCATGTTTCAGGGAAACCAACTCACAGGGATACAGGGGGAGCCAGGGATACGGGAATACTCCCCCTAAATGCGCCTTGACTAAGTTTGGTATGGGAAATGGGATTCCAAGGGAATCCCCCCCATCTCCCCGCTCCCTCCGTATCCCCGCTGGTTCGTTGGTCCGAATGTCTTCCACCGGGCCACGGAGACTCCACCGGCGCGGAAGCCGCGGCCCTCGTGGCCGTTTTGGGGCGGAGGCCACCGCGCGGAGTTGGAGCGCGCCTTGGCGGAGAAGCGGTCCATGGAGGACGTGGAGCGGCTGGTGCTGCAGCGAGGCGATGCGGGGGCGGGAAGGGGGGAAGGGGGGCTTCGGGTGACCGTCGTTTTTTTCGGGGCTCCCCGAAATGGCAACCAACAACATCGCGCTCCCCCCAGAAAAAAAAGGACAAAAGACAGAAGGAAGCAAATAATCATAAGAAAGAAAGCAAGAAGAATCACTGGTCCAACAGCATGTTGTTCGAACCTTTCAACTGTTAGTTGTCTTCGTTTAGTGGTTGCCTGGCACCGAAATGAAAATGTTTGCACTTTTACGACCTGGGAGTTGAAGCAGTAGGTGGGTGTTTCTAAGTTGGAAGAATGCAGATGCAAGACTGGCAGACTTAGCATGTGTTCCTTGCGCAAGGTAGAACCATGTACTCGACAAAACATCACCCCGTCCAGCTGCTGTTGGTATGTTTTTTGCTTTGTGCTTCTTTCTGCTCCCGGTACTGCAAGTGTCAAACTTTCAAATTGAAAATAAATGAACTGCAAGGACAAGGAAGGTCCTTCTTTGGATACACGTTGGATGCCTCGCTAGAGGGTCGGGGGCCGAAGGAGCCTCAGAATATGGTGGCCGTGTACGCCTTTGCCAGGCAACCGAGGTGACCGTTGGAGGTTCTACCAAAATGACATCGGCACACGTGTGTTAACACAGATGGTGCAATTGTGAATCCGCGGCTGAACTAGACTTCAGCTGAGAAAATGTGTGTTTCTTGTGGTGGAACATGAGCGCATCAGCGAAACTCGAGGGGTCAAGTGTATATGTTGCATGCTGTGCAGTCGCAGCGTGGTTAGTTTGCACCCGGCTGTGAAGAAGTGATTATGATATGAGTGAAAGAAAGTCTTGGCCGCCGGGGCTTCGAATTTAGCTGCTTGTAAGAGTTCAAAAGTCCAGGCTGCCCTTTGGCGGCTCTATTCTAAGTATTTGGATAGGGCTGAAACTTAGGTACTGCGAACTGTCCTTACTTGAGATCAACAGGTTATCCTTCGATGCTATGTCTTGAAGGGTAGTACCTATCACGGGCATGCGGGCCAAGGAAGTGTCGTGTTCTTGTGAATGAGAAAATAAGCAGCAACCTTAGAATCCACTCCGACCAAGAAGATTGCAAGACACCAGCTAGAGGAAATTCCAGAGTGAAATGGGGGAAGCACCCACCAACAAATCTGGATTTCCCTTTGGAGGTTCCTGCTGGTTTCTTGGAATCCTCACTTGGCCGGGAAATGGATTCTAAGGTTGAGTTTTGTTGGATTCTAAGGTTGAGGTTTGTTTGTGTTTCTTCTTTTTTTCTCGGGGGATCGGGGTCCTTTTTTGTTTCTGAAGAATGTGGACCTGAAAAACGCCAGGCGGCAGGTTTGCCTCTGAGCTTCGAGGGCTCCTGGAGGACGGCCAGGCGCTGGGGGTGGTGGATTTTGGGGTGTGGGGCTTGGGGGTTGGACAGGAGGGTGTGGGGTTGGGGGGGGTGGTAGGGTTTGGGGGGGGGGAAATGGGGGGGGGGGTGGGGCTTGGGGGTTGGAGAGGGGGGGGTTAGGGTTTGGGGGGAAATGAGGGTGGGGGGGGGGGGGGGGGGGGGGTGGTACAGTGTGGTAACTAGTACACTCCCTCAGATCAACAGCTCCCAGAAGGCCTGGGGCTTGGGGTTTGGGGTGTGGGGTTTTCGGGACGGGGGGGGAGTTTGGGGTTTGGGTTGGGGGGGCTGGTTTTTGGGGACTCCCTCAGACTCACAGCCGGTAGCTCCCATCTGCAAATGGGCCCAAGGCAAAGGTCCAGGGTACCTTCCCTATGCTTTCCAAGCAGCCCAAAACCCTGGGGAAAGAGCTGGTTTCTGAAAAGAACGATGGTTGAAACAAATGATTGGAATCAACCCCCAGAAATGGGGTGGACCTGTGAGGCACTGCACGGGCGCGAGGTCTCCATGCCGTAGCCTCAGATCAAGTCATTTCGGCTGTTGGATCCATTTGGGTTCAGATGACCGTTGGGTGTGGGTGCCTTTTGTTCGGTTAGGTATGGTTTTGCTCGGTTAGGTATGGGTTTTGTGTGGTTGGGCATGGTTTGGTGTGAAAAGTGATTGTGTTTTGAGAACGTGCTTTGTGGTACGGTTTGGGGCTTGGTTTCGTTTGGATGTGGGTGAGTCGGGTACCCTTGTTTCCACTAGTTGGGACAAACCTATGCGTCGTGCTTGGTGAGTTGTTGGTTGTTGAATCTGGTGTGTTGGGATTGAGGGGGGTCGTAACAAGGGGCAGTAAGGATGAGGTTGTGAATTCGAGGTTTCCTTCATTCTCCTGGAAACCCTTTTGAGCGTCCTACTGTGGACGGACGAAATCCGTCACACCACTTTGAAACCGTGGTGGAAATCACAACGGTAAACAAAATGCATCTATATAAGCCATAAGCACGGATGATATTAGATCATCTTATTGACAAATATCACAACACCAGAGGTGTTTTTTGGGGGTCAGTTTTTTAAGCATCTTGGTGCGCTGGTTCCGGGTCCGACTGGTCCGGCCTGAGGTGGCTGCACCAGGCCTTCCCGCTGCAGTGCCCTCGCCCGGCGGTCAGCGGCTTCCTGGGGGAAAGCTCCGCCGTGCCCGACGCGAAGGCGGAGTTCCAGGCCACGGCGCAGGCGGGGGTGGGGGGTTGGGGGGGGGTGCCAGGGACACCTAGAGTCTATCTTGCAACCCAGAACCCCGGAAAGAAAAAAACACGATAGCCTGAAAGAAGGTTGCAAATAGACCCCAGTGTCCACCATACGGGGGGGTGGGGGGTGGGGGGTGGGGGGTTGGGGGGGTCGCAGCGAGTCACCTGCGGAGCTCCTGCACTTTGAGGTCACTTTTTGGGGTTGAAGCATTTTAGGACCCCCACTTTTTAGGTCCATTGATTGGGGGGGTGTTCCCCTCCAAAAGTGGTCTGATTTCCCGCTAAGCCCAGAATAAGGTAGGGTTGACTAATACGGGGTCACCATTAAACGAAAACGTTCTGACTTTGTTTGGCCCATCTCAGGAAGTGAGAGGTTGAGGGTTGCGGGTTGCGGCCAAGCACTTGAGGGCTTGACCCCCAAGATCGCTCAAGGTCCTTTGCTGTTCAAGCCCAAAAACAGGGGTACTGGTGCCCTCAGAAAAGAGGCGCCCCATGGAAAAGCCCTGCGTTGGGCATTTTTGGTTCAACGGGAACCAGGGATTGTACCCCCTTTTTCCAAGTCCTTCCATCATGGTTTACTTTTGCTTTGTGGCAATTTGGTAGCGGATCGTTGGACTTCAACTTGTTAGTTGAAACACGTTGCGTCAACATGTTAGTTGAAAATGATTATCCTTGTTGGACGCACCAAAAAGGTGATTCACTTTAAACGGATATGTCTTTTTGGGTTGGTGGAAGAAGGAAACCAAAAGGAACTGGCCACCTGGACGGACCTGCGCCTCGTTCCAGAAGTTTCAACCGGAACCACGATGAAGCATCCATTCTTTTGGTTGGGTCCCATAGTTTGCGGAATCAAGGCAACACATGTGAGGTTTGGCATGATGGTTATGAGAATTGCTTCATGATGAATTGAATTTATTTCATTGGCTTGATAGGTTCATGTTTCTTTGGTGAGGGCCTGCTCGGCTGGCTGGCTGGCTTGCTTGCTGGCTGGCTGGCTGGCTGGCTGCCTGCCTGGTTGGTTGGTTGGTTGGCTGGTTAGCGGAATGAGCGGTTGATCGAATAATTGGCAAATAGACAGATCTAATGGGACAGCTTTGACTGAGACAGTAGCAAACAGGGAGCTACGCTGCAACGGCCTCCCTTTGGAGTCCAAGACCTTTCCTATTAAGGTGTTTCATATTTGACAGCTGGAAGTTCCATGCAGGAAATGGAAGCCGTTGGCTCCTAGAGAGTCAACCGTTTGCTTAATATTATTTGTTTTGCTTTGCTGGTGTAAAAAAATGTAATCAATCTATCACGACTGGAAATAGGGTTTTTACTTTTTCCAGGGGGCTCAAGCACATGGAAGGAGTACTATGAGCCTGGGCAACAGATCTTGGCTCCAGGGACTGAAGGGATCTCCGCCTGAGGTTGGATCCCTCTTCGAATGGTGAGCTGTCTCCATCGAGACTGCAACTGCGATCGATTTTCAAAGAAAACGAAGAGAGGGCGCGCCATGGGTTCCGCGCTGGGCCTGATAAAGCGTGAGGGATGAGCTTGATACTGTGCCACTATGCCATGTGAAAGCACAACGAATCGGAGTGGTTGGTCGCACTTTGTGTCCCCAAAGATCGTGCCCAAAAGGAAGTGTTCGCATGTTGGGCTGTGACTGGGGAAATGTGAGAATGAACCGACCAACTCTTCGTAAAAGCTGCCACGATTTATGGTAGCAAGCACCCAATGGACTCCCTAGGCGACCTTAAACGTACGGACATATTTCCTCACCAGGGTCCATTGTCAGGGATGCCACGCATTACAGTGCACGCATCTCATGTGGGGCTTTCCTCGCATCGGCATTTCTCATGTCCATGTTGCAATCTGCGTCGGGAATCTCCTGACGGTTGATGTATGCCCTTGTGGATCCCAGTTACCCATATGGTGGTAATCAGCCATTTTCCTGTTGGTTTTGAAAGGGTGGTTCCCTTAATTATTGCCAGTAAATGGATCCACAGAGTGCCTCTACGCTGCATTTCACTAGAGGCCTGCTCCTGATGAAGGAATGAACATATCTCACATCCGCACTCTTGATTGCAGACCTCAGAAGATCAGGCCATTTGGAAAACACAACCCCTCCTATGCACACACGAACGCACCCCACCAGCTGCATTCTGTTGATGTCGCCCGCTTTTGCCAGTTTGGGCTTGGCGCTTCCGTGGCAGAGGAAGTTGGGCAAGAAGGCTTTGCAGATCGGGGATGGGTGTCGAAGGGTGGCTGTTGCCATGTTTGGTATGATCCTCAACTCGCGGGACGCCAAATCGGAAGTATTGGGCCATCAGTGTTCAGATTGTTGCGGCTATGCTGCTTGGGGATTGGCACTACTGGTCTCGAAAGGTTCAGCTTGCATCACCTGACGATCATGCGTGCAGGGTGAAACACGTTTTGCAGAGAATCCATTTGAGCAGGGGTTCAGGACCACTTTGCATTGCGATTGAAGGGGGTGCGATCATAAGGCCCCCCCCTCCCTGCAAGGCAAACATATGGGGGAGTAAGAAGGCGTAGGTGTGTTGCGCAAGTGCAGTGGGTTATCGCGGAAACTACCCCAGTGCTCGCACATTGACTTGATGCGGCCATCTATGATTTGTTGGGGCCTCTTAAAGGATGACACATCCTTAGTCAGATTTCGTAGCTGTCCCGGAGTTTCGAAAACAACGACTGTCTCACTACCTTTCAACAGTAGATTGCTTTTCGCACTATGTTTTAGCCGTGCACTCTGAACCGCTCACGTCATCACCTTGTTGCTGTGGTGATGTCAGGATGAGTTTTTTTGTGCCTGTGGTGTGGCGCCAAACAAATGTGACTCTTGGTGACACATGTGCCAAGGAGCTGAAACTCATGTGGGCCACGTTTCCATCGCTGGGCCGCCTTAGCGTCCGCCGCCTTAGCGTCCGGAATTGAACATTTACAGACTGGAGAGGGCAGGCCATGCGAGGAAAGGAGGATGCGATGGTAAAAGTGGATGATGCTATGAGAAAGCATGGTGAATGTGAGGAAGTGGAACCCAGTTCAACCGTAGTTTTTGCGGGCCAGACCAAAAAGATGATCAATGTGTACCAAAGCTGAGGGGGGTCCAATTGATCCCCTTAGGCAAGGGGAACATAGAAGGTACTCACATAAATTATCTCAGCTACGGGGCAAACGGGCTTGTACCATGTTCAAGATGTCTGAACATATGTTTGGATACTTCTATACAAGGCACAATGTCCCACATTTGTCCGACAAGCAAAACAACTCCTGCCAGTCAATAACGCTTATTTCGACGCAAAACGCTTATGTCCCATCCTGCCGCTTCGTGATGGTACCCAGCCACAAGCCTGGAACTGAGTTTTGGTGGTTCCGCGGATGTCCGCGGATTTCCCGTAGATTCCGAGTATGTCCCACAGACCAGCAGATTTCTGCGCATCTCCCGCCGATGTCCCAGCATTATTCGAAACACTGCTCCATCAGGGCTGGTTGAAACATGCAAATGCATAGTAAGTTGCACTTCCGCGCATGTTGCCCAAACAAGTGCATATGCAGACAAAATAAGCAACAATGTGTTCCTATAAATGTTGTGTCGCAGTATCGCGCAAATGTAGGTATTTGCCAGTAGCTGTCGCAGTATCGGGTATGTGCAAGTAGCCATGCAGCTGGGATACCAACATGCGCAGTCCCAGGGGCACAGCTTCATACATTCAGAAGATCACCAGGGTGACCGTGAGCCAGATTCCGCAGGCGACCTTCACCAAAGCGCTCTCGGGGATCATGACGAAGAACAACATGAAGGCGGGGATGTAGCCGGCTAGCCGTGTCTGGAGAGGCCACATGGATCCAGAGGAATGTGCCTGCTTTCCCATGCCAATGCCCAGCAAGGTTGCAATGCTGGCGTACTTGTATCCTTGTTTGCCCGTTTCTGCTTGCCCTTTGTTGTCCTCGCACTGCGTGAGCCGGGCTTGATACCCATGCGTGCGCTCGATTCAAACATGACTGATGGGTTGGCTTGAGGACATCAGCAAGCGGTCGACCGAGGTTTACCCACGGCCAGCCTAGCAAACTATTCACCACGTCAGCATCAAGTTGCGAAAGGTTTAGTCTCATGAAGCCCTTCAATGCTTGAAGCCAGCTTTTGGAAGTTAAGTACTTGTTGGGATCCATTTCTTTGGCAATTCGCAGAGTTCCAAGTTTTGTTGGGCTGATCAACCAATTGCTACCTCAAAACGTCTTGGGTAAAGTAGCTCAGCGCGCGCTGGATATCCAGAGGTTGGGGATGGACATAGAGCAGGTTGCCCCTTCCTTGGATTGAGCGTTTGGGACTCATGAGTCTTTGACCCCCAGAAAGCGCCAGCTCTCTAAACAGTCGGCAGGGATGTCCGGGGCATCTCATTGTAAGACGGAAGCTTCCGAAACAGACCGGACTCTAACTCAGTCTCCAAATGCTAGAGGAAATCGACTACATCTTGCCAAATCCGCCCGGATCCGGGAGCCATTGGTTGCCATTTCATGCGACTCATCCCCAAATGTGTGAAGAAATGGGACCCCGATTTGGTTGGGAATTGTCCCTGCCTTTGAAGCAACGCAATTTTGCAGCCATGACTGGCTAGGCTCTTTTGGTAGCCCCTTCCTTCTGTATCTTCCATTTGCTTAAGAATAGTTTCTTGGTCCCCCTTGTTGGCTTTGAAGTGAATCTATGACTACTGGACATATTTCCTAATTCTCCAGGGGGCGGAAAAGCAAATGGAAGTTCTAGAACGGCGTTTCACGTCCCACCAATTTTGGTTTTGGTGCATTCTGCTTGGATTTTAGGACTCTAACTTTTGCCAACTAATGGTTTTTTCCATTAAGCTACTAAAAGTTGAGTTTTTCGCAGGGGAGCAGAAAGCAACCGAGTTGGGTTGGGATTCATTTGTAGCGGATCATTATGTTTCTCTTTTTGGTAAACGGCTTCCTCTTTTGGTTTGTTTCACACCCCTGTCTCTTTTGGTTTATAGCTCCTCTTTTGGCGATTCTTTATCTAGGTCCCCCAGTAGTGCCCTTTTCCCCTTTTTTGGGGGAGGGTTCCCCTACTGAAATAGACTACTGCAAAAAGTGGGTAGCCTTCTTAATAACCTCTCCTCTGGAGGACCTAAGGAAGGATGATTCCAAAATCCAATGTAGTTTGCATGGTTCCCACGTCGGACGGTGGTCGCCTACAGCTTTTGCCAAAAAAGACTAACGAAAAAAGTGGGTACCCTTCTTAATAACCTCTCCTCTGGAGTCAAGGGATTTATCTTTTACCTTCATCATGTCTTATTCCTTTCTATCTCTTGGGATGTTATTGTTGACCATAATTCCATCCCTTTCTCGTCTATTAAACCTAGTTAGGCCCACGGATGTTGGGCTTCGCCTGCGCCGTTTCCCGCGCCGAGGTGTCCGGGGCCTTGGCGCAGGCCGCGGCCGGGGATCTGCTGCCGGAGCGGGGCTTCCTGGGCCGTGCGGGAGCCAAGGTCGGAGGCTCCAAGGCGAGGTGGACGCGGCGCCTCCGCCTCCAAAGGGCAAGGACCCCTTTGGGAAGTTGCGAAGAAGGCTCCAAGACTGCGTCCTTCTTCTATGGTTGGATCCCCACAAATTGCGGAGGAGACCACGATTGTTTAAGGCTCCAAGACTGCTTTAGGTTGGATCCCCCAAACTTGCTTGAGACCACAAGTGTTGTTTCCTCTGCCGGAAACTCACTTGGGAGTGTCGTTTTTGGCGGACCCCGCATTTTGTATTGCGCTGTTTTTCCTTTTGGTTTTCCTTGCCACCAAAAAAGAGGTCTCAAAAACACCTATGGTACATCCTATGGGGTACCCTTTTTGTTTAAGAGTTTAAGGCTCCAAGTACCCTACCTGGTTTCTGAGAGCAAGGGTCAAAGTGCCTGGAGTGCACTGGCACCCCGGATTGGTTTCTGCATTGGGTCTTGGTTGTGCTTTCATGTGTTGCAATGAGTTGCTCAGCATTGGGACCAAAGAGTTCCCATGAAAGTTCTAACTTGATCGTCAGAAAGACAGTCAACTCTGATAGCTCATTGGATGGCCGCAATTTTGGAAACAGTATCAGATCGCTCTCCTCTCGGGGGGCAGTTGTCTTTTTCTACGCTATATATGTACTTTTGTTGGAGTGGATCATGCACACTGCTTGCTCATGCTTCAAAGATGGTGCACATGTCGGAAGGCTGCTTCTGACTGCTCTTCTTTTTTTTTGTTTATGATTCCTTAGCCAACTTGTCCGGCCGTCTGGCAACTTCTAACTCGGTCCCATGTTATAGAGTGCGTTGGGCGTGTGTGACTCTCCCATCTCTTTCTGGCAGCCGAGGTTGCGGTGAGTGGTGTCTGGTCGGCATGGTGAATTGCCAGGGCAGCCCAAAGCGCGCCAGCCACGCTTGCAGCTCTTGGCACATCTCTTGCTGCAAATTATGAGCACCTTCACACAATTCAGGAAGGTGTGATC